AGCTCTCGTTAGCTGACTCAGCATTAGTTAACTTCAACATTTGTTGGCATTTGACATTCCTTTTTTTTTTTTCCTTTATCTTATTTTTCGTTTTTTTTTTCCTTTTAATTTGTTTCTGGTGTTGGGTCGTCGGAGCTCCAGTTAGCTGACTCTTAACTTCAACATTAGTTGACATCATTTTTTTTTCTTTTATCTTTTTTATTTTTTCGGGCGACGGGTCGTTGGAGATCTGATTAGTGGACTTGCATTAGCAGATTATGTATTAGCTGACGTCCAACTTTTTTTCCTGGCAACGGGACGTCGAAGCTCTGGCTAACTGACTTTGCATTAGCTAACATCCGACCATTTTTTTTTTCTTTTAACTCTTTTTTTTCGGCGGTAGGTATTTAGGGCTCTGATTAGCTGACTAAGCATTAGCTGGCACCCGACAGTTTTAATGTTAATGTTGAAGTTAACTAATTTTGAGTGAGCTAATTAACCGGAGATCTGACGACCCGCCACCGAAAAAAAAAAATATCTACCCATGTTAAAGTTAACTAATGTTGAAGTTAACTAGTATTGAGTCAGCTAATCGGAACTCCAACAACCCACCACCGGAAAAAAAAATTCAAAGAATAAAAAAATGAATTGTTTAAAGTTAAATAATTCTGAATTTAACTAATGTTGAGTCAGCTAGCTGGAGCTTCGACGATCCGTCGCTGGGAAAAAGAATAAAAATAATAATAATAATAAAATTCTTTAAAAAAAAAAAAAAAAAACTATCAATGTTAAAGTTAACTAATATTCAAGTTAACTAATATTGAGTCAGCTAATCGGAGCTCCGGCGACCCACCACCGGATAAAAATTAAAAGAAAAAATATAGAAAAAAAATTGGACTTTTTAAAGTTAACTAATGTTGAGTCAGCTAACTGGAGCTCCAACGACCCAGCGCCGAAAAAAAAAATTAATATTTTTTTCTTTAAAAAAAAAGAAAAAACAAATATTTGACTGGGTTGGACCCGCCTCGTGGGCGAGTGGGTTGGGTTTATCACAAATAAAAATAGGGGTCTTAAGATATAGATCCCTGGTGACAAAACTTATTAGAATTAAATGACAAGTCTAACTAAACTCTTGCTTCACATCCTTTATAAATTTCAATCCAGAACTGCCTTTCATACATAAAATATGAAATTTGCACCAACTAATCTAACATTTTCGTTTTTGCATTTATCATTTTTTTTATTCTGCATTTAACATTTTCACTTTTACATCTAACATTTTTTTATTATTTTTTTTTTACGTAGAAACACGTTACTTTTTTCTTCATTTTCGTATTTTTTCACTATTATAGAAAACTATTTTTTTCTTTTTTTTCTACATAATATTGAAAATTATGAATTTAAAAAACAAAATCGGTCATAGACACCCATAAAAAAACGTAGGAAACCGTAGTAATCCGTAGACATCTCTGATCCCATATTCTTGAAACCCTAGCTCCTCCTTTGAACTCTAGCCGCCAGACACTCATAGTAACTCATAGACAACTGTAGACATCAAATCGAAAATTTTTAGATCTTCCACACCAATCCTAGATCCGTGATGCCAAGGCCACCCAACCCCATCCACGCCACCATCGCCAACCCCACCCACGCCACCATCGTCTACCCCAGCATCACCGCACCAGCAGCATCATCCTCGAACCTCGAGCGCCACCGCTGGGACAACGCCGCGCCACCACAACGCCTCCTCCCATTGTTGTCGCTTCATTATCGTCATAGTTGTCTTCCCTATGCCGCCGCCTCCACCATCGTGGTCGTTGCCATAGTCACCACCTTCCTCAATCATGGAGTGGTGGAGAGAGATAGAGTGAGACAGAGCGAGAGAGAGAGCGTGAGATTGAGCGAGAGAGAGAAACAGAGAGAGGAAAAAAAAAAGAATAGATATGATAAAGAGAAATGTAATATTTAGTTTATAAGATTTATAAGGGCAAGATTGCAATATAAAAAAAATTAGGGATGTGGCTTATATATTATTTCAATTTAAGGATTTAATTAAAAGAATGAATTTAGACTTGTCAATTAGTTCAAATTAGGTTTCATTTGAGGGAATCATAACATATTACCCCATAAAAATATGTATGGCCATTTTGGGAATTGGTGTTTTTGTGAATTTTTTTGAAAATGAACATTAAAGAGTAGACCTATTTATAGTGGCGGCGGATATATGCAAGCCCATTTTTTTATTAATTCAAAACCTCCAACATAAAAATAGTAATTTACCCTTAATAAAATTCAATACCAAAAAAAAAACATAAATCATAAAAAAATAAAAAATAAAAAAAAATCGGCGTTACAACGCCGATTTTGACTTGTAAAGTCGACGTTGTGTCGCCGATTTTCGTGTACAAAATCGTCTGGATAAACCGATTTGGGAAACCAACGAAAACAAACAAAAAAATCAATTTCAATCTCATTTTTTTTCCAAAATCGGCTAAAGCATTACAACCCAACAAGAAGTAAATAGATTAATGTTCATCCACGTATATTTATCAAGAATCGATACTCGATTAATGTTTTTGAATTGACAAACAAAATTTTAGTAAAAAGGACTTGTTGGTGGTTGTGGGGTCTCGGCGGTCTGACTGCGGCAGTTGTGAGTTTTTTCTATTTTTTTTTTTTTGTTTTTGTTTTGTTTTTACTTTTTTTTTTGGAACAAATTAAATAGAGTTTGTTTGTATTTGTGTATTATTTATTGATAAGGGTATATTCGTCTTCTTTGGTCTTGATGTAATAAAATTAAATTAATTTTTGGGCTTGAACTAATAAATTCTTTTATGTGGGTTTAAACTAATAAAAAAAGGGCAAATGGCAAAAAGGCCCATCACATGGGACTTAAATGCATTTTAGTCCACAAAAAAAACAGTCTCTCAATTAAGCCCATCCCTATGTCTTTAGTCTAAAATACCCTCAATAATATAATTCTTAACAATTCCACCCATTATGCTCTAACTTCCTTAATATTACACATTGACCCCGGATTTAAACAAATATATCACATTAACCCCCAAAACTTTTTTTTTTCAGAAAATAATTTTTTTTCTGAACTGTTTTTTTTCCGGCCAGATTCCGGCGTTGACCGCCGGAGACCGCCGGTCTCCGGCGTTGACTTTTTTTTTTGAAATTTTTTTTGAAATTTTTTTTTCCTGCTTTTTTTTTCCGGCCGGTCAACCACCGTTGACCGCCGGTCTCCGGCGTTGACTTTTTTTTTTTTTTTTTTTTTTTTTTTGAATTGTTTTTTCTTAGAAAAAAAATATTTTAATTAATATTACTGTCTTGACTACTAAATTACTGTCTCAGACAGTAATATTACTGTTTGAGACAGTAATATTATGAATATTTTTTTCCGAACAGTAATATTATTAATATTATTGTCTAAGACAGTTAAATTACTGTTGGAGACAGTAATTAACATCCAAGACAGTAATATTAATTTAAATAAATTTTTTTTAAGGAAAAAAATTAAAAAAAAAAAAAAGTCAATTAACAGTTAAGTTACTGTCTCCGACAGTTAAATAACTGCTGGAGACAGTAATTTAGCAACGAATACAGTAATATTAATTAAAAATATTTTTTTTAAGAATAAAAAAGTGAATTAACAGTTAAATTACTGTCTCCGACAGTTAAATAACTGCTGGAGACAGTAATTTAGCAACGAATACAGTAATATTAATTAAAAATATTTTTTTTAAGAATAAAAAAGTCAATTAACAGTTAAATTACTGTCTCCGACAGTTAAATAACTGCTGGAGACAGTAATTTAGCAACGAATACAGTAATATTAATTAAAAATATTTTTTTAAGAATAAAAAAGTCAATTAACAGTTAAATTACTGTCTCCGACAGTTAAATAACTGCTGGAGACAGTAATTTAGCAACGAATACAGTAATATTAATTAAAATATTTTTGAAGAAAAAAAAATAAATAAAAACAGTCAATTAACAGTTAAATTACTGTCTCCGACAGTTAAATAGCTGCCGGAGACAGTAATTTAGCAGCCAAGACAGTAAAATTAATTAAAATATTTTTTTTAAGAAAAAAAAAAAAAAAAAAAGTCAACGCCGGAGACCCGGCGGTCAACGGCCGTTGACCGACCGGAAAAAAATTTCAGGAAAACAAAATAAAAAAAAATAAAAAAAAAAAAAAAAAAGTCAACGCCGGAGACCGGCGGTCTCCGGCGGTCAACGCCGGAATCTGGCCGGAAAAAAAATATTTCAGAAAAAAAATTATTTTATGAAAAAAAAAAGTTTTGGGGGTTAATGTGATATATTTGTTAAAATCCGGGGTCAATGTGTAATATTAAAGAAGTTAGAGCATAATGGGTGGATTTGATACGAATTAGGGTTAAAATTGGGGTCAAAATTGAAATTTGGGTTAAAATTGGTTAATTGATGAAATTGGGCTAAATTGAGGTGTAAATCATGAAATTGGAGTTAAATTGGGTTTCAAATGAATTGGGGGTAATTTTGGTATATATAAAGGGATTTTCCTTATTTGCAAATAAGTTTGAATGGGGTGGATTTATTTGAAAGACAAAAAAGTTGGATGTCCCTATTTTAATTAAGTGCCCTTGTCATGGGCCTATTTGCCATTACCCCATAAAAAAAATGGACTTGCATATATCGGCCGTCATTTATAGTGAAACTTAGATTTGAGGGTCTACGTCAAATTCGCCCTTAAAATAGCCACCGGAAGTCCTTAGCATTACAGACTTCAAAAGAGTGTGATCACAACACAAAATTAAACCAAGGTAAATTTGGTCAATGATGATATTTTATCTAATAGATGGTTCTTGGCTATGTAATTAAAACATTCAAAAAACATTTGGCTTTAAACCCCCTCAAAATCATATTGTTTTCTTCAGTTTTCGTACTTCATTTTTAAACCATGAATTGTTGGTTTGTTCAGTAGTTTTCGGATCAAAATTATGCACAAAAAGTGTAAGTTTAGAATAATCAAATAGGTCAAAGAAATGCTCCAAACCTCGAATAAAATCCTTCGCTGAAACGAAATTAAAGTTATATATTGTATCGAAACCAAAATAAATTGAGGGCACGCTAAGGCCACATTTTCAAATTACTCGAGATTTTGGGCACAGTTTCAAAAATTAAATGCTACCGTATCTGAATGTAAGAATTCACAAAATTCCGGGTTCGATTATAATCAACGACTCCCAATATCTGCAACAACTTCATGTTATTCGTCCCCGGCAAAATTGCAAGTTAATGAAAGCTTATACCTTCTTTTTTCATGTTATCCATCATTCCAATTTCTTTAAAAAGCTTTATACCTTCTTCTTCTCTTCGTTCGCTGCAACGAGCCTTTGTTTCTTTCTCCAAGCTGGCATCTTACCAGGGAAAGCCCACCTCAAAAACGACTCCCAAGTGTAGCAGATCGCAAACGTAAGGAATGCCCAGAGCATGATCTTATTCCTCAACGGTCTAGGCATAGGCACCAACCTCAACCAATCGTTCAAGTCCCTAAATAAGTCCGATGTAATGACGGTGAAAAAGCCAACAGCCGCCACGAGTGCATAACGAAAGGGCTTGTTTTGGGAGATGCTCTGATTGAAAGGATGTCCCATATAGTTGACGGCAAACGTGGCCACTTGTAGCATCAAACCGACCATATAAGAAACCGTGTTCACAAGATTCGGATGAAACTCCGAATCGGGTTCGATGCATACATCTGGCATGTACTTCTCCGCCTCTTTCACAGACGAAATCAAGAAGAAAATGTGAACGGAAAACTGGCCCAAGAGGGAGAGGAGTACATAGGAGCAGAAGATATTAGGGTGAGGCCTTTCAGCCGAAAGATTCGGAAGCGGCGAGGCGTGTGAGATAAACAGAAAGAATGCGGCTGTGAAAACGCCGCTGATTGTGGCCTGTACATCGCCCAATTTCACACCGTCCAAGTACATTACGCTCAGTACATAGGCAGTTGCGAGGCAGTTCAGCCCGAGGATCTTGAACATTTGAAGTGTGGTGACAAGAGTGCTTCGGCCCTGACGAATTATGTCTGTAGTGGGAGCAACTGAAGCGTGCTTTGCTGTAAAAGGTGAAGCCATGGACGCATCACCGAGCTTGACGACGGGAGCAGATCTGCCATCACCATCCTCGTTCATCTCCTCCATCATTTTCTTCAGCTTTTGGCTTTGAATCTCGGCTGCCGTCATGTGACGGTTTGCAGCTTGATTACTGCTAGTGGATACTGATTTTGAAACGGCACGTGTCTTTGACTGATTATCCTGTTTCTTCGATTTAGCGGATTTTTCCGTTTCATTTTTCGATGATGCTTCGGAGGAAGATTTGTCTTTCTGTGCTGGTGGAGGTATTGCGTTGAGTAGGGCTACTCCAACCTGAGCCTGTGAAGAAACACATATACAAGTTGTGTTTACTAAAGTATCAGCAGTATATTATAATTAAAGAAAAGGAAGTCACAACACTAAACTTCAATGTTCAAGAAAACATAAAGAAATGACCAACTCAAACTCTTGGAATTTTGTTATCTATCTTGCATTTGGTCTCTCAAATTCTACCTGAGATTTCTCTTTACGAGAAACATATAGAATTTACATACAAGATCCACTAGTTACCAGCCACATGGCCCATATCTACTACACAAATGAAATGACATCACGCATTTTGTTTTCTTAGTGTAGTAAAACATTAGGAAGTACCAAATCCTGGCTGAAGTCCTGGAGAGTGATTTGTTTCATGTTTTTTGAGAAAGGGGGAAAACTAAAATACAGACCTAGATTAACTGCTAACAGATACCTTCAGTGATTTACGAACAGACTATTCAGGTGAAATAAGCACGTGTATTTTACACTAACCAAGTTATTGAAAGCTAAATTCCACATAATGATACCACGGTATCAGTCATTCAAACTGAAAAGGCATATAACTTTGGAAGTAAGTCTAATTTATTCGTAAATAGAAATAAGCAGGACTTAATTATGATTGAAGGGAATCGGAGTTTAGGCTGTTTGCCTGCTTTGATAAATAAAAATAAATAGACTGCCCGTACTTGTGAATTTTACAGGGTCACAGTTCTGCATGAATGCCTGTAATATCCGAATAGCCTACTTTGCAAATTGTATTTATTAACAAACTCGGAGCAACATTTCACTTAATTGAACACTTATAATTATGAAATACCTGCTTTAGAGCTCCGACATCATTTGTGCCATCACCGCACATAAGGGTCACCCTTCCCACCGACTTAAATGTAGTGATGATGAGTTCCTTTTGCTCGGGGGCAACACGAGCAAATACCTGAGAAACATTATAAACTTATTTGGAGTGCACACCAACAATAAGGAAGATTAGAAACACACACAGTGACACAATTTTTACCTTCACATATGGAATGACTTTAAGGGTAGACGAAGTTTGCTGCAACATTTCTATGCAGTCACCTGAAATGCAGAGATCATGAGCCTCGGACAGATCTTCAACCTCATTCTCCCTGTTAAAAGTTAAAAAAACAAAAAACTGAATTCAGTGAAAAAATAACTGAGAAGCATTCTGCGTGGTGGCAAGGATGAAAACATAATAAACGCACACACAGAAGGAAAAAAGAAAAGCAGAATCTGGCAAGTTTATGAACATTATAAAATAAATTGGATCAGGGGAAGCTTGAAAATAAATGAAATTCTATACGTCCGAATGTATTCCTACCTGTAGCTAATCGTGTATGTCTCATCTGGAGAAACCCACTCATATCCGTCATTATCTTTTGTTCGTCCAAGAATCAAGGCTGGTTTTGAGATAATATTAACTTGGCCAGCAACATGGCAAGCTGTCAAAGCTTGATCCCCAGTAATCATCACCTGACAATATTAACATCGAAAAATAGCATCAAGTGCTTTGTTTTATGACGCCAAATTCTTACTTTGTTAAATTTCTTTGGGTTAATGTGGATGTAAATAATCTGCTAATGTAATTCCATGAGAGCAGAATAACAATAATCTAGATCTAGCCATACTTCTCAGCTATACCTGGCATTATACACAGAGAAGGATTAACAGATACAGAAAATAAACACTCCTACATCAAAGACTTCAAATTAGTGAGAGGGCACACTCGTCAACATATTGCAGAAAATACACATTTGTCCGCATTCATGAAAGTATAAGCAGGCAAAGAAATTTACATGATATGCACTCTCATGGAATCTGAATGTCAAGCTGCAATTAATTAAAAACACATTTGTTACAGAACACAAGAGAAAGGAATATCGTAGAGTACTCACCAAATCATGTGAGGATTCTTTTAATCCAGACAACACAGAGGCTGAATCTTCCCGAATAGGGCAATTGAAGATCTGTAGGAGCCAAGAAAAGCATCGCACGAAATCAGTCAAGAAATTCATGATATATGTGTGTATCTAGTTTCGTGTCTATGTGCATGCTATACAGAACATATCTTCTTCTATTATGATGGCAAATGAGTGGGAAAAAAAAAAAAGGTAAAGTGTTCTATAAATAGATTTTGTACCGCAAACCCAGCAAAAGTAAGACCACTTTCCACAGTGTCTCGATCCAAGCTTCTTGCTTCGCTAACCTTTAAAGATAACAGACATGGTAATCACTAAGATAAGAAAGGAGGAATTAATTGTCCATGTAATAATAGAAGACAAGAAAAACACCAGAGCGAAGAAACTGACATAAGCGAGTACAAAATCATTAAAAGAAATAGAGATATGCATATAATCACACACTCTAACACACACAACTAACAGATGCTCATTTATACATCTCAAATTGTAGGCATTGCAAGTGGAAAACAGATTAAGAAAACTAATAAATAAAGAAACCCTGATTTGAAAGAACAAGATTGTAGTCATAGTTTTTTCTAGTTTGATACTCTGTATAACTATTTCTCAATTTTCAACTAACTAAGGTTTCTTATGCCCAATCTTCACACATGTTTCACAATTAAGCAAATGATTATCAAATTGTTGGACATGAATATCCTCATGTTTCATTATATACTTGTAGATATGAAAGAGTGGGTTTCTTATATAATTGGAACATAGAAAATACTGTACCAAACATTTCTAAATATCCACTATGAAACATTGTGGACCCCACTGTCTTTATCCTTGTAATTCATCCACTATTAAGCATATGTGTCATAAATCATTGGGATTATTTGTATTCATCCACTAAGAAATATTTGTTCAATCATAAATTGTTTATCCTTTAGAAGTTAGTCAAAATAGTATAAATATGTAGTCATAATTAATATGCTCAAATCGTCTATCCAATTGCCTAAAGTCTTTATCCAACCAGACAACAAAGAACCCCAGATTCAGACTCCATTTGAGGCAATTGCCTCTGTCAAGAAAAGGGCAAGAACGCAGATCATGTGACAAAGACGGAACTTGAATAACAAAGGTCAGCTTGAAATCATAGCCTTCCAAATAAATTGGACTGAACAAATCCAATTCCCAAGCTAACCGTAGATACAGATAGGAGTGCGCAAAAGCACAATATAGATTCAGTGAGCACTGATTTCAACAGCCAACCCAAAATGTTAAGATATTATAAGAGGCAGGGTTAGCAGAAAAGAGCTGGTTTCTAGCCATGTTCATAGAAAATTCATCTCAATTAAAACTAGAACCATGAAGGTCAATGCATGCAGTACTATGACACACTATTAAGCTCCAAGATAAAAATGCTATAAACTATATCAAATGAAGACAAATAAAAGTAACTATCGAAACTAAATGCGCTAACAATAACCTTTCCCTACACTTAAGCTGCAAGGAAAATATACAATGTGCATCTGTCAAGTAGAGGGATGAAGTATGTAGAAAGAACTCTTACTGTCATATCCTGAAGAGACTTGTATGCCAAAGCCAAAACACGAGATCCTTGACGTGTATGTTTCTTGTAAGTTTTAACATACCATTCAGGCACATCAATGAGCCTTTCTTCGATCGTTTCTGGTGCACCCTGAAAAGAAACTTTTTTCATAACTTGCAAATATAGAAAATTACAGAATGAGTCTTTCGTGACAAACGAAAAACAAAATAAATACCCATCCATCAATGTGACAATCTGTTTCTAAGACCAAAATAAAAGATATAGGTTGTGTCCAAGAATAAACTTGGATAAGTAGAGAGAAATACTGGTCGAAATATGTTGGTTCACAAATAAAGTTTCCAAGCACGAGAAGAATCAGGCTAATGACTTGATATATAAACATTTCAGTCAAATGCTCCATAGAAGTAAAAAATCTAGGACAGTAGAAACAAATATTTGGCCTGTTGACTTCACATATCCAAGATGCAGCACCATTATTCATAGATAAGGAAGATGGAATAGACATGATATGAAATGAAAATAATAATGAGGAATATGAATTTTTAGAAGCAATGAGTAGCAGACTTGGTACAGATCTGTGTAATATTAATAGAGGTGAAGGTCAGCCAAAAAATGGAGAAAGTACATGTTCTCGAATAAACCCCTCACATTTATCATTCACAATTATGTTTTACAACAAGTCCCAGAGTGCATTTTATGCAAAGCTTTCATGTTTGTAAATGCATGGACATGATCATTCAATTCATACCTTAACAAAAGCAAAAAACTGCTCCTGAACCCGAACAACAACTGCCATTCTTTTTAAGTGAGAAGCGAAGTGGTGCCTTTGTACAATCTGGACAAGATTGGCACCTCCCCTGCAATTCGTATCAATCGAGCAAAAGATGCAACAGAAGATTATCAGTAAATGAACATAGAGAAATGAAATCCATGTAAATATATACACTTACATAGAAACACACATATATTAACAGAAGCAAGTCTGAGTAAGGACTTTCTTAATGTATATTACACATACCAAGTAAAATGTTACACTAAAAAAGATTCAACCACCTACTTGCTATTATATAAACTATCCATCTTCTATCAAGTGAAAGTGAATGTTAATGGATCCATCAGTTTGCTAGTATCAAGAAGAATTGAAAGTTACTTTTAAACTTCCATGACAAACGACTGAATGCTGTTAAAATATATCTACAACACATCTGCAATAAGAGTACTGGAAAAAATATGCTAGCGCCTAGCGGCTAAAATAGACGAGTAGTTCCTAGTTCATCTGAGGCAATATTTGAACGAAGCATCAAATAGGTTCTCAACCAACCAACCAACAAAACGAAAAAATTAAGATACTTGTCTATTCTAGATTTGCACTTGGACGTTATCACTCCGACCTAACAAACCAATAGTTCAAATCTCAATCTATAGAGTTAAACCTCTGCGCTAAGTTCCCATCTCGACGACAAGACAAACACATTACGATAAGGAACAGAATAACAGAAGTATTGTGTTATCCAAAAACAACAACTATTAGATTTAAAAATCAATAAACGCGTATCGACGTTAGTTAAATAGTAACAAGAAATCTTATAGCATACCTTTTTGGCATGGCCTTTTCATCTGATTTGTAGGTCCAGTCAATTCCTTTTAGTGCAGCCTTCTCAAGAGGATCACCAACCTACATCCAGATGTAGAGGCAACATGTTATTGCAAAGAACACAAGTTTAATGATAAACAAGGCAACATGTTGCTGCAAAGAACAAGACTTTAAATACAATTTACAATGAGATGATATGATCTTATAACTTTCTGGAATGTAAAACTGTAAAGCTCAGAAAGTTGAATGACAGTGAAAGGACTCTCACAATTATAATGAAGTGAGGTGGCCAAAACATAAGATATAATTAACACTGTTTAGTGATTAGGCGAGTGAACAGAACATTCGCAGACATTACATGAGATACTGATAGTTGATGAACTTTCTGTCTCCCACCAGGTGTAACAGAAAGCAAAATAACACATAATATATTGAACAAAATAAATTCCTACCAGCTTATTATCGACAAAGACCAAAGCATGACAAGTAGCAAGTATTTCCAAAGTTCGCTCCGGCACTTCGGATATTTCTGTTTCCGTGTCACTGTCTGTCAAACCACGGACTCCAGTAAATTCCTGAAGAACAAAGTTCAAAAATCAATACCATTAAAAAAAGGCTCAACACAAGCACATAAGTATTTAAGAAGTCATACCATGTCATCGGATGTTAGTGTCCCGGTCTTGTCAAAACAGCATATATCAACCTGCAGAGAGAAACAGATCAAATTCCAACTACATGCTATTAAGCAATATAACATGAAACTAAAAAAAAAAATATTACAAACAATAAGGGCGAATGAAAGACCGAAAGAGGACCATACACAACATTACCAAAAAGCACATATAGTTCCAAATATAGAATGGTAAGGCATTTGCTGAGGATGTTATTGATCCTAACGAAAAAAGAATTGAACTTCTCTCTGCTAATACCACATGCCCGATGAATTCCAATACCACATTTTACATATTCTGGTTCAACTTTATGGGCTTGTATGTTACAAACATCCTTAAGACATCTGTTTGTTTTACAGAATAATTCCCTCAATAAAATGATACAAGCATTCTAACACTAACCCGTCTGAGTTTCTAGTTATTTGAGTTTAAACTGGTAAAAGTGGTCAATGATGCTTCTTAATTTATCAATTATTGCAACCAAATCCTTCTCATAATATACTGAGCTATGTTTCCAGTGATGATTTTGGCATTAAGAAAGGGATTCTAAAAGTTGCTCGTACAATTCAACTAATCATCCAACTAAAAAGTTTTAGTTGACATATGACTAACATTGTTATAGATAGAAAAATAATCACAGTTCAACAGATCTCAACCAATACCAAACAGGGATTACGTCATTACAAAAATTAGAGACTCGGTATTTTGTGTTCTTAATAATTGATGTCTCTAGATCTTGAGGCTGAAGCATCTAAGCAAGGCTTAAATCCTTTTTGCATGAATAAAATAGATAGAAATCACATATTTGCAGACAAAATTACTCATACGAACTTGTATAAAAAAAATTGCACATCAAACTTATATTTTTTACCTTTCCAGCAAATGGAATCCTAAATGGTTCTGTGCAAAATATCCCACGTCTTGCTAGTGCAATCAACGATGTATTAACAGCAATTGACAGCTCCATTGGAAGTTCAGGGGGGATTACAGAAGTAATGATCAATGAACAACTCAAAAGAAGCTTGTATCTACTCCTCGTTGGATCCTCAAGCCCCTACATCATAGTCCCATTTGGTCACATAACCAATAATCATATTTTCACCCACACGTCTACACAAGTCTAAACACAATAGAATGTCATATTCATCAATATTTATGGAACCCGTAATACCTTCATAAGGACGTAACCAGCAGCTATCAGAGCAAATACAACTAAGAACAAAATAAAGAGTCCGCTCTCCCAGCTATTTGCGGTGACCTGCCGATCACATAAAATTATATAATGGACACAAATTCATTTAAGAAAAAAAAAACATTAACAAAGTGTGAACTGGCAAAACAAACAAATTACCCTCTCAGTAGAAAACAATATAGTACGCATTAGCTTTCCTTGACTTGTCTCAAATCCAGTTCGCAGAACAACTGCCACACAACCTCCATCAGGGGCTTTTAAGTGAAATGTCTGTAAGAAAAAGATGGTTGAAGGGAAATGAATTTCGGGTATTCATTACACATGAGAAGTCTATGGATAGATAGGAGAGAGGGGGAGACGGACCTTATCTGGTGTATGCTGTAATATTTTTGTGCCACCAAAAAGAACATGTGATTTATCACGCCTAGCTGATAACTTTTCATCACTTCTTCTACCTACTACTGAAACCTGGATATAATCGTTGGCAGAAGAATAACGATCATCAAACTCAGATGAAGATGTATCCATTCTCCAGAAAATCAATCTTCACGAGGTTTCTTACACAGTATGTGAAAATTGAAAAGATTTTGTTTTCCTGAAATGAGAACTTGCACAGCAAGCAGTGGGACTATTCCTTTGTTTTTATAAAGGTATGTCCCCATTAGGAAACGTATATAATTCTCATAGATTTTTATAAATGTATGTCCCCATTAGGAAACTCAAGATATATATTCTCAAAAGGAAAAGAATGACTCTCCCAAACACCATCTCTCTCCACCTAATTCACCCTGTTTTTCCTAGGACATTCCCAAACATCCATACATTAAATTAATTTCCTACACAAACTCTAATATAAGTCCTATCCAACGCATACATTGTCCAATCTTAAGAAGAACAGTCGTAGCAGTCAAAAACAGTTCAAATAACTATCTAGATCCTAGGTGAATTGTATTTCATAAACTTTTGGGAATGAATCTACCAACTCCTATTGTATGCGCTCAGCCCTTTTATACTATAATTATTACAAACAATATTAATCCACATCTATATTGTAATGGATACGAATAGTTGTTAGAAAAATTAAAACGACAAGGAAAGGACATCGCTATAATAGCAAAATAAACAAAAACCATAAAATATACTGTCATGAAAAAAGCAGAGTTTAAAACCTTCCATTGCGGTGTGGACTCGCCAGTCAGAATAGCTTCATTCACGATAGCACTACCAGCTAAAATAAGCATGTCAGCAGGTACAGACTTTTCTTCTCCATCCGATGCTATAGAGCGCCCAATAGACACAACATCCCCAGGCAAGAGCTCTGTCCCAGAAAGTTTATTCCACCTGATTGCAATTATAAAGATGGACATTCAAGCACCAAAACTATAAGCACGGTAAAGTAAAATGGAAAAGAGAATTCTTGTGATTTGCATTACATACTTCCCACACCGATACACCATCAATATCTGGGTATCCACTTTCACACGTCTAAGTTCGGATAGAGTCTTCAAACGGCTTTTCGCCATGGTTGACTCAAACATAAACAGCATAAATAGAGTGAACAGACTGTAATACCAATATTCATCCAAACACCATAGGCCCACACAGAAAACCTAAATGCAATGAGTAGCACCAGAGATTATTAAAATCAACTCAAAGTCAAAAGGAAAGGACAGGTATTGCTTGGATCAATAAATTGAAAAATTAAATTATCAGGCTAAATGAAAAGGAAATTGCAACTACAACAAACCTGAAATACAAAAAATGGTTCCATGCATTGCTCTTTCATCAATTTTTGGAACGTGGGATGAGGATATTCAAATCTACACAGTTAATATTTATTTTATCAGCAAAGGAATACTCAGATGTGGATGAAACAACCAGTGCTAATCTAGAAAAATGTGATACGAGTTAACGAGACATAAATAATTAGCACGCGCACCACATAATTTACATGATGTCATTACAGAGTAAGATATAAAGTGCATACAAATATTCAGATCTACACAATTAATATTTATTTTATTAGCTAAGAAAACTTATATTTTGACGTGGATAGTCCTGTCAAAGAAACCAATGCTAATTTAGAAAATGGATACAAGTTAAAAAAGACAAAATTAACACTCGGACCCCATAATTTAGACGATGTCTTGCATAGCCAATTTCAGATGACCATGTAGCATGTTTATAGAGGTGGATGAAGGGGTTGAAGCTGCATTAACTGTGACAAGTAGCATGTTTATAGAGGGAGGGGTTAATTAACCGTGACAAGCTCAAATAATCCAGAATTTGCTACACTATCATGTCCAGTGACAAGTCTGTTTATACTTTAGAGGTCTACCTTTCATGGAGTTGGATAGAGGTTTAGGAGGATGTTATGCATCTTATTCATGTGATTTTACTTTTTCAGGACTTCTTATTCCCTTGTAATATATGTCTTTCTTAATTAAATTGATTTTTCATATTAAAAGAAATGTACCGCGCTTATGATAAAATCCAATAGACCTAAATGTTATGACAAAGAAATTAATAAAACACTCAAGCATACTGCTTTATGCAAGTACTTCAATTCTCTTGTCCAATTAAAGCAAGAAAAGGAAATAGCAAGGCAAAAAACCGTGCTAACATCATCAATTGCACATGTAAAATTAAGTTTGAGACAATTGAACAGCAGATAGGAGAGACTTACACATTCCTTCCCCAATTCTCAGTAGCAGTCAGAATTTTAGCTTCGGTGCCGTAACCAGAATTCTTGAGATAATAACCAATTGTTTCCTTAGACGGATAAGGGAGCTTAAAAAAGGTATGGTTCTCAGTCGAGTAAATAAATCGCTGCTTCCTGAAATCAAAGTAGATTTCTTCCGTATCCGGTGATGTAGAAGAAGCTGCCAACTAAAGATTAAGAAACTGTTTAGAATTGGGGAAAAAATTAAGTAACTTGATTCTTTTTCAAAGGAGACATACTAAACAAAGGTCTACGGGCAAGTAAGAAATTTAAGAAACAAATACAATAATTCTCAATAACTTGATGTCTTGATTTAATCACTCCACAGAAAACATTGTATTACTTGGAAGACAAGAGCAAAATGATGCGACCGCAGATGTCTTTCGTGTAGGGATTTTACAGCAATTTTACAACAAACAATATTCAACTCAAGCTTACATAATTCAAAATGCGTGTTCCTCTACTCAGGCAAACTTCAGATATGAGAAAACTTATAATGTGCCTAAACAAACAAAAGAAATATTTTATTCCATTGAAGGGAAAAAAATACGAGGAGCATAATAATTTTCTGCAAGCCCATTTCCAGTTACAATTCCTGAATTCAACAATTTTGCCAACCACAGAAAACGGAAAAGAGCTGTCATTCACTAGTAATTTTGCCAACCAAAATTTTGCTAACACGTCGTAAGAATGCACTTTTAGACTAATTAAAATACTTTACCTGTTTATTAATACAAGTACATATCTAAATACTCAACATGAGTATGATAACACATATGAACATGCAAAACAATCAAGTCAGAGAGAATAAGAGATGGAATCAGGTCACCAACCTTCCGAAAGTGAAGTGGCACAACTTCTTTAGAGCCAGAAAATTTAGCTGGAGTAATTTTGCATGCATCTGCACGATGGATATCATTAACCTGCAGTAGATCATATGGGCGAAATGAAAAGTCCCGAGTATGAGAGTAATAAAGTTAAAGCAGAAGTTACTATTTCAACAAAAACTAACACAAGTCAGCATGCTACAAAAAGCTTGAAGAAAGACATTAGCTTTTGATGACACCCATGAGAGTAGGTTTCATCTTTTATAATATTATATCTGATATGCAATAATCAGCCATGCAGGTATAATAAGGAACAGAAAAGAAATCATGTAAGGAACTTGCCAGGTGCAGACTAACTAATGTATGATACAGTCACCTTGTATCGGATAATATACAATGATACATGATTGTATTATTTTATATCCTTAAAGACACATCCAGAAATAATATTTCTGTTCAAGAAAAAGTCAACGCTTAAAAGTATTCCTTAGATATTTCCACAATATTTTAATAATTAAGAAGTATATAATCCTCATAGTATTGATCCTTATAACTTTTTTTCACTCATCAACTTTTTGATTCACTTTATTTCTGCTCCCTTCCCCTTTCTCCTCTCTTCATTATCTATTTTTTTCTCTTAGAGAATGAACGTCATTCTTTCTAAAAATTGATTTGTTCTCTGCATCAAATATTTCATGAAATGCCAACTGCGTAGAAGAATGAGTAGGATTGCATTGCGACTCATTCAGCGTCAATTGCATGTATACCTTTCTGAACTCATCTTTTAACAAAACCTCACAGAAATTTTCATCAAACTACTGGCCAACCAAGATACTTCAAGTGGTTAAGCAAATCCTGCTTTCCGCAGTAAATACCCAGTAATAAGACAAGAAATCAAAGCTAGCTATTGACTAGTTAACAATTTATAAAAAGTAAAAAACTAATACATTTCAATCTTCACATGATTTTATTGTTCATGATGACTAGTAAAAAAGAAAATAACCAAAATGCATGTACCAATTTCTAATTTTCTACAAAAACCATCACTATGTAATAAAAATATACTTATGTAGAAGGCAGGGAAAACCATATAACCCAATCTCCCAATCTAACATCGTGATTCACTTATTCATAGCTCAGAATAACTTGTGATTCCCCAACCATTTTTTTCCTAATAATACACCAAAATTCTAGTAAGGCTTAGAAAAATATAATAAGTAAACTAAACTTAAAGCAATCATTAAAAATGAGGGGAGAAAAAGCATGTTGGAGCACAAAAAATGAACCTTAGAATACTGCACGAAGCATTTAAAATCCACAGCCCAAACAGTGAACAGAAAAACCAGCACATGAAATGCCAGAATGCAGCCCAAAACTATTGAGGCATCCCCGAAATCAAGGCTAGGAACTCCAGCTGACAGCCACACTCCATAGAGTATTGTAAAAGGCCACATATCCAAACGCCATGCCCAATGCCTCTTTTGTAATAGATCAACGGTATCTACCACTTTCCCACCGACATGAAACCTTGACATGTTACTTCTTCTGTTGATTGATCAACAAATCCTGTGCATATCCAAGATGATACAAAAGTGAAGAAAGTAAAAAATGGAAGCTCATCTAGAAATTCTTCGGAAAATTCAATCAGATTTTTCATTTCAATATGCTATTTAGAAAACCCAAGTGTAATTAGTATGAATTCCATACTTTTCTCTTCATTCAATTAGGGACCAACAACTCTTAGAAAATAAATAATTATCCTTCTCGGCAATAATTTGTGCAGCAAAATTGTTATAATAGACGCAAGCATGTTTCACAAGGTCTGTACAAAAAACATAAAAGAAACTTGGCACATATTGCTTGTAGTAATTCAGTTTTTCCTCCAGCCACAATTTATTATAAGATATAGCAATTCATAAAATTATCGTGGGTGGTGGAAATTTTGAAGTAAAGAATCTCTATTCATTACTTTTCTGGTGTCAACAAATCCAAATTCCAAATAAAACAATGACAGCACTTCCAGTTATTACAAAGAATTGGCTTCAAGCTATTTTTATGCAATTCTTGATCAATTAGTAAACTTACATCCACTTCTCCTCAGTTGTACATAAAAGTTACAATAAAAATTAAGTCAATACAATCGTATTAAACTAGCATAAAAAATTAAAATTAAACTGATTTTCTAAAATCAAGTAGAGCAAAAACCCCAAAAATCTAAACACAGTTACACAGGGAAAACAAAAAATACAGATAGAAAGAAAAGGTTGCCTCAAGGGAAGAGATAGATCATGAGATCGAAAGGTGGGTAGTAGGGCGTTTAGGAATTTGAGACGGAGGAGTAAATGTGGGTCGGGTCGGGTTGGTCTTTGTTCGATTCGGGTTATTATCTTATTTCTTCAATATTTTTTCGTGGAGCGTGAATGGCTGCTCGGGGTTTTCAGATTGCATCCAGAACATCACGCAGGATATGCAGTACTGAATAATGTGTTGATAAAGTAATTAATGTGCAAAAGAAATAAATAAATAACGAAATTTTGTTCAGAATTTTAGCAAATTATACATGGATCGAGATTTTTAGAATACATCCCGGCGCAAACAGGACTTACCGTTACCGTGTGTTGCCGCCGCCGTCGCTGCTGTTCCCTGCCGGAAAATCCGATCGGGATGATTGAGTAAGAGGAAGAAGAAACTCGGTTGAGTTGTGAGTGAAATTAAATTAAAAAAAAATTAAAAAAAAATTGGAGAAAAGCCCTAGTCCAAATTCTGATTGGACCCTACCCTTTTTACTTGTAAATAGTTGCACCCTCTCCCCCAAGAAAAGTGTCCCCGTTAGAATCCAATTGAGTCGAATCGGACTCTTCCGAGTCACACCCACCAAGAGGTGTTTTTTTTGACTTCTCTCGTGATTGCACTTGCAAATCAATTTTGCGTAAATACCACTTACGCCCCTGTAGTTTGAACTTGGTCTTTATGAAATATGACCTCCTTGTAGTTTCAATACAAGCACGTGTTCCTCTTGTACTTTGAATTTTGTGCACATGATGTCCTTGTACTTTTAATATAAACACATAACCCCTCTATAGTATCTGTTACAGGAATTTCTTTCCTCCAAAAATTTTCACCCGTGCCGCCTAGTTTTCACGCCAAATTAGTCAGCCTTCACTCAATTTTCTACCCACAAACGCGCAAATATAAAGTCTTTTAAGCCAACGTAAACATAAACAAGAGTATGCAGCAGATAACAAACACACAACACGTTTGCTCAACCTTCATAATGATTTCCCAACAATGAATACAAAAGAGACTAAGGTGCACACACAAAATTCTCACTCAAAGTGTCCACAATTGCAATATGAACTCTCTAATGATAGATGGGGCGGATTTATGCACTCAAAGCCAAATAAATACAAGAAAGAGGGCAGTTTACACCCCCAAACTGCCTAAAGATAGGTGGCGCTCTAAAGGCTTGCCACATAGCAACTTAGACCAACACTATGGGGGCAGTTTTCGTGCATGTGTTGGGCAAAACTGCCTAGCGACCGCTGCCCAAAACCGCCCATCCAGCTTGTCAATCCGTTTGTCAGCTCTTGCCCACAAGACCGTTAGCACAACCACAAGTCTTGCTGAGGATTTCTGGTCTCGTTTGTCGAACCACGCCCGTGTCAAACACCGAGTACTGCCGAGACTCTCTCGTGCCACTTGCCGAGCATCATTCGTGCCAAGTGTCGAACATTGCCGAGACTTCCTCACTTGTACCACCGATCAAGTACTTTCGATCACCGTTTCCACTCGAACCAAGTCGTTCATTGCTTTCTCAGACAAACACCTCAAAATGCTTGGCCAACACTCGACCACTCATTGGCATGTGTGGTTGCCTTGTGCCAACCATTACTGGGCAGCCATTTCTCGGCCATGACTCGGTCACACTCGAGTCATAGCCGATGTCACCGTCTAAGGGGCTAACAAACCTCCCCTACCAACAGTGTTTGACGCCATCGTTGAACCGAAAACATCAGCTTCAGTTTTTCCTCTTTTCCACTTGTCTTGTCACTCTCTTTGATTGTGCTTGATCAACAGCACAATTTCCAAAACAAGTCCCCAGTCTAATCCCACGAATATTTCACAAACTCTTTCAGCCCAGCTTGAAACAACGAGCACTGACCACGTTCAAACAACAACACTACACAACAAGTGACAATACTAGTTTTTAGCACAACTAGCATTTTATCTCGACCACCAATCAAGAAAGGAGACTTCCAACCCACAGAAAATCCCCAAAATCGGCTTACATTTCTTCACCAACAAAAGTCCAAGGAGTTTTAAGGAGTTTTTAGCACTACTAACACTTTCTTTTTTATTTTATTTTTTGTTTTTAAGGAGTTTGAAGGTTGGAGATTTTTTTATGGGGTCGGAGAGCTAATTATTAAAAATCATTTGTTTAGTTGATTTCTTTTTCTTATTATTAAAGTTTTAATTATGAGTAGTATATTTTAAATTTTAAATTATTTTCCAGCCCAAAAAAATTTCAATTTCAATTTTGGCCGTAAAATAGTGTTTTCTGTTATTTGCTAACGAGCATGTGACGGCGGGGACCGAAAGTGTTTAAATTGAACCTTGGAGGTAAATTTTGTTCACTTTGGAACAGTGGGGACCAAAAGTGGGATCGGATCAAACATGAAGGACCAAAAGTGTAATTCTCCTATGTTATTTCAAATTTGTGTTCCTTTTTGTTCCGAATATTTTAGACATAATGAGATATTAATATAAATACCCTAAACACAAAAAAAAAAAATTACAAACAAATATTACTTTTTGCTCAAATTATTTTTCAGTCTACCTTTTTATACTCACAAAATAATATGAAAATTGATTATTTTTCAGATATATAATATATTTGAATACTCTTTCTTTTTGACAGTGATACTCTTACTATGCGAGGATGGCATATCATCATGCACACGAATTCTAATAATCTTTTAATTATCGGTAAATTACAACCATCCCTGAGTTATGGTGAATTTACGAAAAAAACCCTCTTATTTGGATAATTACATCTACTCCCTTAGTTATGATTTTTTTCTTACACCTCCACCCTTTTGGTGTCAAATTCAACATAATCATCTAGATTTCGTGGAATGTGTTATAGTTTGTACTCGTTTTGTGTAAATATATAGTTTATGTTGCACCACAATATGATATATACAAGCCAAAAAACACATATTATGATCATCTTGCTTCAAAATGTAGAGTTCGAATGGATAAAACGAGTACAAAAGTGATAATATTCCATATAATCTAGAAGTTTCCACTAAATTTGAAACCGCAAGGGTGGACGTAGGGGTGGAAATTGAAATAGAATTTCCGAATTCCGCCAATTCCTGTCCGAAAATATCTGAATTTGGAACCTGTTTTTTCATTCCGATTTCCGATATTCCTGTTTTTACAAGTGCTTGCATTTCATCTTATTGACCTTTGTTTTGAATTCTTGCATTTTGCCGGAAAATTACGAAAATATTAGGACTTTTTTTTTGTAAATTACCATTATTTCCGATTTTGGAACAAAAAAGCAAGAATTAATGCAATTTCCGAAAATTCTGAAATTCCGCCGATTCCAAGGTATTCCGAAATTGGAATGGATATTGAAATTCCGATTTTTTTGGAATAGAAATTGGAACCTATTTTTAACTTCCGAAAAAAATTGGAAATTTTCCAAAACAGGTATTTCCGATCCATTCCGTCCGATTTCCACCCGTACGTGGACGTGTAAAAAGATTTATAGTTAAAGGGTGGTTGTAATTACCCAAACATGAGGAAAGTTTTCATAGTTTGACCATACATCAGGGGTGGTTGTAATTTACCCTTCAACATTTAACTTATTACATATAATATATATGTGTTGGATTTGTTAATTTTTTGGGATAATTACAGTTTTGGTCCCTCAAGTTTGCACGTTTTTTCACTTTTGGTCCCCCATTTACCGCAGTCAACAAAATACACATTAATGTTGTCACATTTTAACACATTTAGTCCCTCCGTCTGTTTGCCCACTAAGTAATTACGGTCAACGGCTGTATTCTTGGAGAAAATTGCAATAAGACCCCTGTATTCTTTCAAAATATTCTAAAAACCTCTAAAAATTTATCCAACCATAATTTAACCCCAATTTCATCAATTAATTTAACCAATTTTAACCAATGATCCCGATTTTTCAAAATCGGGTAATCCGGCGTTGACTTTCTTTTTAACTCATTTGAGCGATGTTGAATGTCGGGTTAACAGCGTTGATATTTTTTCTCTTGATTTTTATTTTATTTTTATTTAAATTATTGAGTAATGGAAAAATATAATTTAAAAAAAAAATCAAAGGTGATAATAGGCAAGAAAAAATATGATAAAAAAAAGTCAAAATAAAGAAAAAAAGGAAAAAGTCAAACGCATCTCAATAACGGAAGAATTTTAAGACAAACAAAATGATATTTGGGATGCACTGGCGGTTCCACGAAGAAAAAAATGAGGGGAACAAATTATGGATTTTAGAATTTTTTAAAAATTGTATTTAGGCCCTAGAATTTTAGATAAAAAAATTGTTAGAAGTTTGTAATTTTAATATTACGAAACTATATATTAATATAGTATTATTATTGTGTTATAGAGTAATTGTGTTGATCGCAAAACAAAGTCACATGAAAAAGTTCATAAAAAAAAAAGAAAAAAAAAAGTCAACATTGTTAACCAAGAATACAATGTCGGTACACGGAGTCAAAATCAATATTAAATATAAAAGTCAATGCCGAAAAAAAAAGTAAAAAAAAAAAAAAAAATCAACGGCGGTCAACGGTCAGCCGTAATGGTGGTAAAAATCCGTGTCGTTTGTCAAAATTGATTAAATGATGAAATTGGGGTTAAATTAGGTTTTAATAAAATTTTAGGGGTTTTTAGAATATTTTAAAAGAATGCAAGGGTCTGAGTGCAATTTTTATCTATGAAAAATCCCTAACCGTTACTTCTTGACCGTCAAACAGACGGAGGGACTAAATGTGTTAAAATGTGACAACATTAATGTGTATTTTGTTGACTGCGGTAAATGGGGGACCAAAAGTGAAAAACGTGCAAACTTGGGGGACCAAAACTGTAATTATTCCTATTTTTTTCCAAAATCGATATCGTAAATTATCTGAGTTGAATGGATAATTATTGTCTTGGTGCATTGAGGGAATCTTGGGATTTTTTTCGTCATAATTATCACCATCTCCCTCTTCCATCGACACTGCACCCGACGACGACGGCGGCGGGTGACCACATGAATTTCGTTATTGATGTCGTCCAAACTTTGCTCGAGCAGTTTTTGAAAACCAGCCCGTATATCCTGCTCATATTTTTTCGATCGATTTGTCTAACATCATCGCTTAAAATGCGATATTTAGATAATCGCAATTTTGCTTTAAATAGTCATTGATGTCATTCATACAATCGCAACATCACTTTGATACTATTGTAATAGTATGACAGTGTTTTATACAAAATTTGCAATAAAATACTAAGAGAATTATTATTTCATCTCTCCATCCTCCATGGTTGATCACCTATTGAAAACCATTTCTAACTAAGAAACTAATCCATATTTAATTATATTTTTCCATGACTTAGTACATGAACTTAATTACCAGTAGATATACGAATAAAATAACACGTGCATTTTTATAATACCTTAGCGCGTTGCCCGAAACAACTACATGTCATCAATGCCCATGTGTCTACAATTTCTGTCGTTGTTGCTCGCGTCGCTCGTCGTAGCTGCCCGCATCACCCGCCATTTTCTCCCTAATTTTCATGGATCCAATCGAATTCAAATCCGATGAACTATATTCCAAAATCTAATTAAACGCT